CTCCGTCACGTGATCAACATAGTCATGTGACATCACAAAAATGCTGTTAAATAAAACCTGACTAAACTATTATCTCAAGTTGACTGCAATATCAAACAAGGATTACATATTAAAATCAAAATCTCGCTCAGAATAAAATGTAGATTTTCAAGGCATTTTAAGCCTTCGGACAGCCTTATCATAACTGCGTAGTTGTTTAAATTTAAAATGTGTTAATTAGCTCAAAATGGCAATTTAAAATGACGTTATATTCACTCAAATTTCGCAAAATACTCAAACTGCTTAATTTAAAGTCGTTTTGCAGAGAACAAATTACAGTTTGTTTTTTATTTATATAGTTTACATTGAACAAAACTTCTAAGTGTTTACCTAACATTTTTGAAGTTTTAAAGAGCAAATGCAAACAATGAATTATTTTTTTTAATTCCAGTTTAATGATGCATATTTGAGTAGGATGTTGCGTAAAATTTATGCAAGTATCTCGTCAGACTTTTAAGAAAAGTGTCGAAGAAACGAAGTACCCTCAAAATGAAAATTCTCACAAAAAAAATCTCTATGGAGTAGACCACCAATCGCTCTAATTACTACAAGACTGTAATTACAATTGGATACCATGTACCCCTGAATACTAGATCTTTCCAAACCGTTGAAATGGCGTGGGAAAAAAGGGGGGGTGATATTTCTTATAAAATCCCAAATGTGTTAAATGGGATTCAGATCCGAGAATTTGACAGTGTATCATCACACAGATGCCTTTTGGCCAATATCCTAAGGTACGTGTGTATCTAGCACGTAAGTGCACCTTTTTTAGGATAATTCAGACTGCTTGCGCTGATATTAGACAGTCATGAGCACCGATTTCTTAAAATTCTCGTACGATTAAAATTGTTAACTTTGTTTTCATGTTTCTAAGATTGTTTCAGGACAATTTAACACTCTTTTAACATGGTGTGATGCGAAATTTTGGCCTCAAGTGAAGATCAAGGTCACTTCCGGTTTGTTTAAATTTTGTTTAAAACTTTTAAATTGTGATAAACTAGTGATGAAAAATGAAGCACAGTCTATAGAAAAATGTGTTTAAATGGGTTTTGATACAGGTTGTTAATTTTAAAAGTAATATCAAAGACAATTCAACACTAAAATAAAAATGAATAAAACGTGGTGCAAAGATTGTCCAGATATCAACATTCAAACAGCTCTCCTTTCTATCTCAATTGTCATTTTGCCAATGTTTTGTATTTTTAGTGAAACCAGTTTTTAAAATAAAGTGAACAGTTAGAAGTTTTGTTAAGTGTATTGATTAGTCTATATTAACAAACAAAAAATACTTGAAAAGATTCATTTTTTTCTGGAAATAGTTAAAGCAAACTTGCTTAAGAGTTTCAAAATTTCCCCCATCGTATTTGACCGTGTTTTAAAGCCTTTGAGCCCCCCGTCCACCTTACGTACCTCCTGAATCCTGTGTTTATCAACTTGCATTTCTACCTCAACATCCCTCCGCACACTATCAAATATAACTGAAGAAATTCTTGTCCGTTTCATCGAATACTTTGTTATAGCATTTTAGCACTTATAAGAACTTAGTATTATCCCTTAACATCTTCTATTCCAGCTTTATTTGTTATATGTTTCAGTCTGTCTTCGGAATTTTGGTTTTTTCAACACTCAAGTAAAATGGTGCTCCGTGTTAAGGATGACAACCCACTTGGCACGTAAAAGATCGTTTTTCTGGAGTTCGAAAGTCAGCTCATTAGGGGCCGCCACAGAAACCAAAATCCTTCAAAAACCAATTATTTAAACTGATAATCCGCCGAAACATGGCTGAAAAAAATGCCCACTCGGCGTTAAACAATATACAATCAATCAGTCAACACTAAAGGAACAACATATATACAGCTGTATGTTTAAATGTTAAAAGTCTATTTGTTTTCCCAAACCTTATGCAAAATGAAGTAGAGGCACTGTGAGCAATTAGCTCACTAAATGATACCCACTGCCTCCTATTTGAATATAATAATGGCAGTGTCCATGTTTTGCTATGTGAAACCCAAAATATGTGTTGGATCAAAAAGTAAAATAGGAGGTCACAATGGCAATATGCAATAAAGATTCTGTGAAAGTTTATTTAATTTCATTCAGTGATATGAGAGGAGTTGCGGATAAGAGATGAGTGTCCTAAAGCGCAAAAGACGGACGGACGGACGGACATACCTATTACTCTATATCCTCCTGCTTTTCAAGCGGGGGGGGGGGGATAAAAAATCTCTGATATTCAAGAATTGTAGCTCTTTACTTCGTGACCGCGTATAGATTTGTTGTCTTCTAGGGTAGAAAGGTCATTCTATTAGCAAGAAAATTCTCATACTTTTTCATCTGGAATTACATTGTGTGAATATTTTGGTAAGAAAAGTTGTATAGTCACGCAATTTATAATTCGCCGGCAGATTCCCCGTGATTCCTATCACTTACAAGCTTTCGTACAAATAGACCTAAGTCATTCTTGACTTCGATGTAGTCACCAGTTCTCTTAACATAATTTTCTTGTCGAACACTCCAAGAACTTTACAAGGCAACTTGATCCACACTTCCTTTTCAGGATAGTGTAAGGTTGTTTCAAGAATCGAGGAAGGATTGAACACAAACATTACTTCTTTCAGAGTTTGTAAATTTCAAAATTTTTAAATTTATATACACTGTTCATTGTTCATGCTGTTCAATACATGATTATCCGTTCAAAACATAAAATATTTGAGAATGCAGTTGAATTTATGACTAAGAATAACAAAATGCAAATGTAGGGACACAGAATCAGACTTGGACAATTGAGAAAATTTATGGTTTCGCAGCACAGTTAAGGTTACAAAAAGGAGGCGGAGCCTAATTTGTACGCGAAAACTTGACTATGACATCATACACAATATACGTCATGCAAAATTTCTTTAAAATACCACAAAATGAGTTTATCTGCTAATTTAACCAGTAAGAAATCATCAAACTACATAAAAACTTCCTACAGCGTGTTGTTTGTCGTTCGTTAAATCCCACATAACAAGTTATATACAAGTCACTGATCGCAATACACTTGTCAATATGACGTCATTTCTTACAACTTGACGTAGTTTGTATGCAGTGAGAGGCAGATCAAGTAATATTTTCTCAACAAAATAGGTATTCTTTAATTAAATAATATATTATTTACAGATATTCTATGGGCCAATGATTTGAATTTAATGTCTTCTTCACTATTTTATTAGTATATTTGCTGTACATTACGTATTGACACTGTCGTATATTTGTATGAAAGTACATTGGAGGGTAATGTGGGGGGTCTTAATGAATCGATCTAATGCAAGGGCATACACTCTATGGATAAAAGTAAGCTTTTACATTTCAACTATATAGAACTATTAAGGTATCTGAAAAGTGCTGCAATCCTGATGAAATCTTAAAAAACAATTTAATTATATCAATATTTCATGCCGCTGACCAGCAAAAAATATAGCATTCGGTCATACAAGTATAATTTTAACAATGAAACTGCAGAATTTAGACAGGATCGCAGCACTTTTTAGAAACTACAATGCGTGTTGAAAATATTTATATACTAAACTTGGAAATTAAACTTGGTTATGCCCTTGCACTAGTGATATTTATATGTAACATCAATACTTTAAGTCAATGTGCTAAAATCGCGTGACTGCCGCATCACGTGACTAGTCTAAACATAAAATATAATCGTCCTCAATATGTAGTTATTTCGAAATTCCTAATACTAACAATAACTGTTTAATAAAGATTGATAATCAAAACTTCAAAATTTCCTTATGCAAACACCCCATAAATGTACCTGATAGAAACTGGAAGAATAACACAAATTGTATTGGCGGAACTGTCATGGCTTTATATTCAAAATCAACATTCACATTTAACATGCAACTGGCATGTTCATACAAATCAACATTCACATTTAACATGCAACTGGCATGTTCATAACCTATGCGCCGATCTTACAACTGGTAAGCTTTTGGCAGCATAGCATTCACAAATATCAAACAAACCATATCATAGCTGGGGGACCTGGAGAAAACAGTATCCCTCAGCAAATGGTTACTTGTCAAAATTGCGCAAACACTAACTGTCAGTATTATCACGTTTAAACAGCAAAGTCCATAGCATTCTTCATCAGTATGTAAGCCATGACGATTTCTGAAATTGTCACATTCACACAGCAACGTCCATAGCAATCTTCATCAGCATAAAAGCCGTTACGATTTCTGAAATTGAAAGAAAACACACCGCAGAAAACGGGAACCAAAATAATTCATGAACTACGTTTAAAATATTCAAACCAACCATAAAATTTAAGGGAGGGAAGGGAGGGGATTTTTCCGTCTGCTCAAAAACAAGATGGAAGTTGAAAAGACCTGGCGCATGCTCATGAGTACTCATGTATTATTAATCGTAGAATCATAATGATAAAACCGTATAATTCCGGAAAACGGGTTACACTTAGTAGCTATTTATAATTTCACAATAGAAAGCAATATATACGTCATTCTCAATAACTTTATTTATCTTGTAGGGATAAATCTGATTATTTCGAAATTCCTAATACTAACAATAACTGTTTAATAAAGATTGATAATCAAAACTTCAAAATTTCCTTATGCAAACACCCCATAAATGTACCTGATAGAAACTGGAAGAATAACACAAATTGTATTGGCGGAACTGTCATGGCTTTATATTCAAAATCAACATTCACATTTAACATGCAACTGGCATGTTCATACAAATCAACATTCACATTTAACATGCAACTGGCATGTTCATAACCTATGCGCCGATCTTACAACTGGTAAGCTTTCGGCAGCATAGCATTCACAAATATCAAACAAACCATATCATAGCTGGGGGACCTGGAGAAAACATTATCCTTCAGCAAATGGTTACTTGTCAAAATTGCGCCAATTGGATTTCCAACATAATGAAATCCAACCGCCATCATAGCGGCCGAATTTTGACCACAGTTAACATTCATCATTCACAAATCACATCACATCATAAAGCCACAACAGTTCCTATTCCCAAAATTCATGCACAGTCACTTTGATGGATAAACAAAGTTATTACCAGAGCTGAATTGCCTAAGAGCAGCCTGCATTGTTGACAAGAAAATTTGATTACCTAAGGGAGATAAGTGAACTCCATCATTGAGAAAGAGTTTTCTTTGATCAATTCTGATATCAGGATACTTAATTGAAGCACCATTTGACCTTAAAACAAAGCTAGCAATAGAACTATTAATCCTAGATCTTGATTTCTCTGCAGAAACATTTGAAAATGAATGACGCCAATATACTCTGGGCAAAATATGTGACCAAACAATGCAAGTCAAAGGCATAACCAAACGCAACTTGTTGATAACAGTTTTCATAAATTTTTGTTGTCTTCTTAAAGGATTATTATGTTTGGCAATGTCATTACCACCTACATGAATAACAAGAAACCTTGGATGTGGCTTTGTAGAGTATAGATCCGAAATAACCTCGTTGAATTTGGAAAAACTCAACCCTGGTAATCCCTTCCACAAAACTTTTACCCCTGTCAAAGAAAGGTCTGTGCCAAATTCTGGAGAATTCAATGCAAATTGTTCTGCTCTTTTAATAAGGGATGAACCCACAATCCAGATTGAATCTACAAGATTTAGAAACAATACATGAAGCAATCATAACAGTCTACATAATTATGAAAAACAGCACAAAATCATAACCCAACTCTAATTTTGATACCCAGATGACATCAATATGGTCATGTGTAACCATCTTATTAATAGTATCATTTACATCTAAAATGTAATCAATTCAGGTCTGAGATAAAGCTTGTATGCATCTGATACCCATCTTCCCTTTCTTTGAATTTCATGTTCAGATATGCCAGACAAATACATATGTGTAGCAGCCCCTATTCTAAAAGAGCGTGTTTTGAAAGTGTTTGTTTCAATACCTAAAAATCTTAATGCTTTGTGCAAAACACTTGAAAACTGGTATGTTGATAAGGGTGTACCATTGATTTGACAAAATAAAGGGCCATCCTCTTGAGATCTGAATTGCAAGAAAGTTTCCAGTAAACTAAAACACACTGTAGACTCAACTGATTTGCTGATAGTAATAACTAAACCTTTTCCATTCTGATCGGTTTTCGAAAAACGCAACTTCAATTTGATATTTTCATTACTTAACTATAAATCTGAAAGCTGAAGTACATTTCTTAAACTCTTTTTTTATGCTACTGCTATTTCGCTTATTCTAAAAAGACCAAAAAATGCAGTTGCAAATGTGGACCCAAATAATAAGTGCTCATACTTTGATTTTGTAACCATTGGCAATACATCCAAAATTTTTAGCAAAAGCTGATATGTTACCGGGCTTCTGATGTCTTTTGAAGGCTTAGATCTTTTTAAACCTGTCAACATTTTTTGCACAATAAATGATTTGACTGGATTGTCTAGGCCATGTACTTGCAAACTGTGACTCAGAGCTGATAAATATACATTAGCGGTAGAATGAGAAAGATTTTTTGATGCTAGAAATGCTACAAAATTGATTATATGATCTACAGGGGGTGGCCAAAATGGAGGCAATTGAAACTGTGATCTGAAGTCATTAAAAACAACTATGGCTTTGTCATATGCAATTTTTGTGTTGTCAGAGAGGCTAGCTTCAATTAAATGATTGACATGTCCTTTAAAAGGTTCCAAAATGGAATAGGTACTTGATAAGGATGGCAATCTGCCCATGGTGCCAACTTCCTGAATCTGTTCCACTGCAATCGAGAAACTGAATCTGCAATCTCATTTATACAACCTCTTACATGAACTGCTTTAAATTGAATATTAAACTTCAAAGAAAGCAATACTAATTCCCTCATCAAAATCATGAATCGTTTATTCTTAGATGTTTTGCGATTCAAGATTTCAACCAAAGCTATATTGTCAACATGCAATATTAATTTCTTGTTTTGCAATTTGTCTGACCACAGGTAAAATCCTAAAACTATAGGAACAAACTCTAGAAAGGTTATGTCTTTTCTTATATCAACGTTCCACTCCTGTGGCCAACAGAGATAGGACCAGGAAGTTCCAAAAACCACACCACAACCTACTGAGCCTGAGCTGTCTGAATAAAATTGCACACTTTTGTCAGATTCCCATTCCAATTCTGGAAAACTTGTAGTACCATTAAAATCATTAAGAAATGTTAACCACATTTGAAGATCACTATGTATTTCTTTGGAAAGCCGTACAAAATGATGTGGCTTAGTAACACCAGACATTAACCCATATAAACGACATGTGAATGCTCTACCTGCTGGCAAGGCCTTAGTAATAAAAGCTAATGAGCCAGCTAAAGACTGAAGCTGCTTTAATGTTATCTTAGATTTCCCCTGAATTTCCAGGATTTCTTTTTGTAAAGATTCTACTTTATCATTTGGAATGAAAATTGTCTGATTAACTGAGTCTATACCTAAACCTAAGAATACTATGTATGTTGTTGGACCTTCAGTTTTTTCTTCTGAAACAGGAACACCTAACCCATTACAGATATTTTGAAATGAATCCATCAAAATTTTGCAATTGTTTGTACCATGAGCTCCAGCAAATAAAAAGTCATCCAAGTAATGAAGAACATTTTTCAAGTTGGTGTTATACTCTACCACCCATTGTAAAAAACTGGAAAATTTTTCAAATAAAGCACATGATACGGCACAACCCATCGGTAAACATTTGTCTATGTAATACTTATCAAGAAACTTAAAACCAAGAAGACTGAAGTCTTGGGGTCTAATTGGTAACAACCTGAATGCATTAGAAATATCCATTTTCCCTAATTGTGCATTTTTACCTAGTTTTTGAACCATGCTAACAGCTTGATCAAAAGATGAATAATTAACTGAGCAAATTTCAGGATTAATGAAATCGTTAATACTGTTTCCATGAGGAGCAGATAAGTTGGTGATTAACCTCCAACCCCCCTGTTTTTTGGGTAACAGTCCTATTGGGCTGCAATGAAAATTTTTTAATGGTGGGGCATCAAATGGACCCATTATACGACCTAAGTCAATTTCTTTGTTCAGTTTAGCTAATAATTCATCTTTGTGCTCCAAGGCTGAAACCATATTTTTACAAGATACTGAACCCCTGGGACCCTCATAATTCAATGAGAAACCAAATGTAAACCCATGTAAAAGTTGATTTGCCACTGTTTTATCTGGATAATCTTGTAACAAGTTGTTTAAAGTGGTAACATTGATTTGCGTAAAACCTAAATCCCAAAGGCAAGGATCTTCGTTGCCGAAATGGCCTTGAGAATCTAGATTGGGTCACATTAGGATTAATGTTTTGACGACCGACCATGTGCGAAGCCCCTTTTGGTGCATTACGGCTGGTTTGATTACTGTAACATTTGATAGAGGGGTCGTTTTGTCCGCACTTTAGACAAGAGTGTAAATATCTACAATCTTTCTTAAGACATGAACCCTTCAAGTTGAAATCATAACAACGCCTGTGCTGATGCAAAGTAGAAGTGGGCTTGCGTTCAGCGACTGTTGCCTGACCCATGTAAATCAACCATAATTCTGCGTCTATGTTTTCCCAACTGATCAAGCTATTTTTGGAGCGCCTAAGCCTAAATTGAATGTCAAAATCCCTCCACCCCAAAGTGATAGACCGTGAAGCCCCTAGCCTTATAGAATTGATATACTTTAAAATGCCTTGAACATGCTGAGGAAACTTTTTTAAATAGATGGCAGCATAAATCAAAAAGGAATCAGTCCATTCTGAAATATTGACAATTTTCCTATCCTTTGATTTGTTCTTGATTTTAATTTCACCATCCTCAAACACAAGCAGTTGCTGAATTTCAGCAGCTGGATCTAAATGCAATAACTTAGCAAGATCTATATATATATACTCATTATTCCAGATTTTTTCTTGTGTTGTCAAGGGTATGTTAGCCCCAAGATCTGTTGTAATACTAACAAGGGGATTAACAGGTATACATGTACCTGGCTGATAAGCAACATTTGTCGTTGCTGGATCCGTAGATGTCTGTTGCAGCTGAGGCAGTGGGCTATCCATGGAACTGACCTCGGATGAGACTTGTAGGCCACTGGAATTAGCCGATAAATCTTGACTACCACTTCCGGCATGCTGGATAAGTGCAGGCTCTCGTGTTGGTTGCGCCGAAGGCCCCGTTGTACTTGCAGGAGGTCTGACATAAGGCGATTTTGTCTTGGATCTCCGCGATGTCCTCGCTCTTAACAATCCAGTGCTCATTTTCTTGCAACTAATTAATAAACCGTCAGAGATTTGTTTACTTCTAGTTGTTGATATTTAAATGTGCATAATTATATTCAATCAAGTATCGAAAATAAAATGCTCTTGTTTTACAATACTATTTTTTGAAAATTAGTCAATAAATTCTAAACAAATTCATTAAATATGAATTAATATGCTTGCATTAAGCTATTTACATACATAAATTCCTTTGATTAATACAATACAATGTCGATGATACTGGATTTGTATTCTCAGCAATGATTTTTCCGTCTGCTCAAAAACAAGATGGAAGTTGAAAAGACCTGGCGCATGCTCATGAGTACTCATGTATTATTAATCGTAGAATCATAATGATAAAACCGTATAATTCCGGAAAACGGGTTACACTTAGTAGCTATTTATAATTTCACAATAGAAAGCAATATATACGTCATTCTCAATAACTTTATTTATCTTTTAGGGATAAATCTGATTATTAATCATAATTACAATCATCCGATATAAATAATGTACTAAAAATAATCGCCATCCCGATTATGAATACATTTTTAAATACAAAATTTAGTCGATATTTCCATTGCACACCTTAACTGTACTGCGTTACGTATTTTATACTGATAATTCTTAATAAATATGTTTATATTTGGATATTATATTGGAATTTTATATTCAGATTTATATGATGTAACAGTTATTAGCCCTCTAATTGGTCGTGGTTCATCATTTTAAAAATCATACTAAGTTATGTTGCACTAGACCTTCCACATGAACATAAACATTTATTTTTTTTCTACACTGGACTAAAAATAGATCAAGAATTTCCAACAACTGATATGATTTAGCAGCCTTGAACTACAATGTTCACTCGCCTTAATGCTTATGGAATACTGCTCTTGGGGTAGCTTAATTTTCATATTGACCTCAAAACAGCAATTATTGTATTTTTTATATGAAGAAGCATGATAAGAAGGGTAATAGGTAAAATGTCTTCGGAACTGTCGTCAAAAATTTATTTCATTAATAGAAGTAATTAAACAAATATCCGTGTTATAAAAATCCTAAGTTATTATCAAAAATATCCCCCAACTCTCATTACATATTTAAACATTCTTTCAGGAATAAAGAAAAACCTGTAATTTATTTTCTGCAAAACGAATCAGAATTAAGCAGTTTGAGTATTTTACGAAATCGAGTGTATAAAACGTCATTTGAATTACCATTTTGAGCTAAATAACACATTTTAAATTTAAACGACTAAATTTTCCGATTTAAAGTGATCATATTAGTGTTTTATTGGAATTTTGCATTGTTGTACTTCGCTCAATAAGATATTCGCAAATCTTTTCTCCTATGTAAACAACATTAAGAAATAATTTGAAAAAAAGGAATATCCGCCATTTTGAATCCCCATTTTGACTTTTAACTTATAACTGCACCATCATCAATTTCAGAATAGTGATATGTAGAGAAAAAAATACAAATCTGCAGTGAATGGATGTTTGCAAATGTAATATCCTGAACAAAGAAGAATAAGAAACAATAGACAAATAAATCAGAGAAAATTCGAATTAAGTGTAGAAAAGATTAAATTTTAGGAGTTAAACTAATGATGTTAGCATTCTATTATATTTTTTTATAGTTTTATTACACTCAGTTAGATATTCACTCATTACTTTCCATTTTGAACATTGTTGGTAATTGACTAATGGTTGACACTGATCGAGTGAAAATGTTGTGCTGATGTGAACTACATTGCTGTGTGACTGGGTTTGATAAATTTGAGAAAAACTGCATTTTGGGCCTATATACTTGATACATAGGTTCCATATGTAAATTAGTAAAGATTAACTAAGTAACCGTCCGCGGATTACCCGGGAAGGTCAATTTGTTTACAATCGCCGAAGTGGATGGATGATTGATTGATTTGTTGTTGATGCTGACTTGGGTCTTCCAATGTGTTGAATTGTTCGACGACCCACGAATAATGCCACGACAATACTGAACACATACAAATAAATATTTATTAAGTTTTGATGATGTTGAATTTTCTCTATATAAATAAACCTAATAAAGTCTACTCTGTTAGAAGGACCGATTGAACCAAACACAATATAGTGGTTAACCGTGCTTGTCTTTGCTGAATGAAAAAAAAAAACATCAATCAAATCATGTTTATCATTTATCAATAAAAATATCGTACAGTAATCTGCATCAATCATATCAATCAGATCATATACAATTATAAAAAGAAATATCTAATAAGTCATTAGTAATCAATTATTTATACAATGTGGTGGACAAAATATTCAAATTTAATTAACTGATGTTCCTAAAATTAAAACTGTGATATATGAAAAAATATCAGAATGAAATTAAGAACGTAACTAGAAAAAAATATCGAAATGAAATCTTAACGTCTTTAAAAACAGTTGAATCAGTCTATAATTTTATCGATATGTTATATTTCTATATTTATATATCACATATACACTGACAAAGATTTAAATCATACATTTAATCATAATGTATTTTATCGAATAGAAAAGTATTTATCTCTCTAACACGTTTTTTTCCAATTTTTTCCATTTCAATACTTTCAATTAAAGAATATACCGAGTCAGAACTGGTCACGCGGTGACACAAATGATGCAGTTCATAAACTGTGCTTTTGAGTGATTGATTTGTTGGATCGTTGTCAATAATCAAAGTGAGCTTATTCCTCAACGGTGTGTTCTTGAATGCAAATGAAAGAATGTTCAATTCAAATAAATCAAATGCATAATTATTTGATAGGTAAATCATGATGTGCTCGTAGTGTTCTAATATATCAAAAATATTTTCAAACATCGATCTTGCTATTTGGTTATTCTCGTCTATTTCATGAGAAAATCCAACCGTTATTCCATTAGACCTTAGAGGATTAACGATACTTTCATTTACAAAATACTTATCATCCTCACTGCAAAATATAAAACATCTGTGCGTTTTAACATCAATTAAAATGTGCAAGTCCATAAATGGATCACACATGAAAATAAAATAGATTAAAATAATAAATGTGTACATAAAAAGAAAACCATTTATCAAATATAAGAAAAATATCCACATTAAAGTAGGAAAACGTTTGTCATATATTGTTCTGTCATATCCTTGAGATAGAGAAAAATTCTCAATGAACTTAAAGAAAGTTTGCATTAAATCTGTGTTTGTCATGTACTCTCTAGACTGAATTCGTAATTCCTCTGGTATTAAAACATACTGTATTGGATATTCTACGACTTCAGTTAAAGTCTTATTTAAAGATATATCAAAATATTCGAAGTAATATTCAAGTTTATGTACACCATATACCCCTTGTTTAACATACGTTGACAAACATATATATTCATTTTCTACGTGGCAATGCAATGTATTAAATAGTGAATCATTCTTTAAAAAAATAGACAAATAAAGCCAACTATAAACAGAAATCAATGAATGTTCATTTTCCTTCTCAATTGAGTAGGGTTTATCATTAATAAAGTAGCTAAATGAAACGTTTAAGTCCTTATGTGTCTTTAACATTGGCCATCTCATTAAAAGAAAATTTCCCAAGGGAAGAAAAAAGATTCTTGGTTCTCTTTGGACTAGCTGTAAATGATAAACTCCTTGAAGGGTTAATCGATCCACAATAACTCCATGTATAACACAGCTTTGAGTGAAGCATTTGTATTCACCAAAATCTTCTCTTTTGATTAATTTTATGTGAAGATCACTTATCCCGTCGTAATCTTTTATTCGGTATCCCTGAGAACTGTTTTTAATTTCTTGCCCATCTTTTATCCATTTTGGTCTGCTTTTCCCTATCTGAAAACCACAATAAATATGGATTTCCTCTCCCACGTTTCTGAAAAATTGATCTACTTCATATTCGGAATTTTCAAAAGTTACCTGGTCCTCATTCGATGTGATAGAAAAGTTTATTCTGGTTTGCTTACTTTTGAATAGCTGATATAATGAATCATAATATGCATCAATAAGTGTCAGTGATGTTCGAAACTCTTTCACGTTAGAGTGAATTATACTTGTAAATGGAAAATAGTATTCGTTAAGTATCAACATAACTATCATTTCAACAACCCAGAAGCATCTCACTGTACTCAAGAATAGCTTATAAAGTAAATAAAGATGATGATTTTCACAAATATAGTGAAATCGTAACCAAATGAATCGTAAGCACTGTATGGCAAAGACATACACATCAAAATAAATATGACATAATATTATCCCACAAATCAAAGATTCGTTCCACTGATCTTTAATTATCGTGCATATGAGAAATATGAAAATTTGTTGGAAAGGGAAAAAAATATTATATAAACAAGGAACACGGCCTAAATCTCCTGATATGAAATAATAGATTTTCATCCACAATATGAATATGCCTACCGCTGTAGGCAAAAGGAAAATCAGAAGAAAAACTCCTTCTGGGCTTGGAAAAAAATCAACAAGCGAATCATAGTAGTAAGGACATATCATCAAAGTCATGTCTGCATCAAACATGCTGAGTAGAGCGTCAAGAAGTGGCCCAGCCACCATTAAAACAATCCCTTGGAACATGTGAATGTTTGCCATCGTAAAACAATCTAATAAAGATAAAAATTAAACATTTGTTAAATTGCACAAACCAAAAATTAAACTCAAATCAATAAGTGTTAAACAGAAAATGAATTGATACTTGGAAACTGTGAAGATAATGAACAGCAATCATTAGATTTTATCAAAACTTCAAGTAATACAAGACTGTTAACAAAGTTCAAACAAAGTTTGTAAAACAATAGGATTTGCTTAAAATAATGACAATATGCAGTAATTGAAGCTCATGCAACTCCTAACTAAAAATCAGTGTAAACGTATAAATGATTCTTTTAATTTATAACTTACACTGCTGGTAAACGTACACGTGAGTTTGGAAATTATAAAATATACACTAAAAATCAAGATTTGAAATATCAAGATCCAACTTTGTTTTTACTTAGTCAATTGTGTCACATTTCCATTTATACCACTTTCCTTACTTTTTCTTCCAGGAAGTTCTATCAGATGTCCATTCAAATGTGTATACTAGGTCTTTTTTTTAAATGTGACATAATAAAACAAAATTAGTGGCTTCTTTTGTAGAAAGAAATGAAAGGTGAAACTATGGAGATAACAGTATTCAAAATCAAAAGTCCATAAATAAATACATACCGTATAAGTAGAATTTTTAGCAAGGATTTAATATTGGTATTATTAGCGATGGTGCTGACATCCCTAAAATTGAATATAGCTAAAAATTAATTGCGTATTATTTGTAATAGTTTCTTAAGTTAGCGTTTCAAAATAGCTAAAATTACTTCTCGCTAAAAATAATACCCGGTTTTAGGTAGAAATCGCTAAATTTGCGTCTCGCTAAAATTTCCACTTATACGGTATAAGGAGTAGAGCA